TGCCTCGGGTGGTCTTCCTCAACAATACTGATGACTAAGGTTGGGTTAGATGCTTGAGTAGAACATAAGTTTCCGAACACATGAACGGTAATGCTGTTCGGTAGGCTATTCACCCGTCGCACCCCACAACCCGCTGCGCCCTGACAGTGCATAGTGATTGGCCAAAGCATTGCACCTGACCACAGGTCAGGTGCAATGCTTTGGCCAATCACAGCGCACGATGACAGGGGGTAACCCTGCCCCTTGTGACATCATCACAGTATTTAAGAACTGTCATCCCACCGCATCTGTCAGATTGTAGAAGCCAGCATTGAGAGTGAAGCTTTTTTTTTTTTTTTGGGTCGGAGGTGGCTGTGGGCATCATGATTGATGTTAGATCTACTCCGGAGGACATTTTTTTAAATTTTTGTTTTTAATAAAGGACTTGTCAAAGACTGTCTTCTGACATTTTTTACACTACACTTTTTTTGGTGAATGAGTAGCGGTACCATGTATCCCATACTCATGCACACGGGGGGGGGATCTGGAGCCTCCCTTGTTAATGGGGGCTTCCAGATTCTGATAAGCCCCCTGCCTGCAGACCCCCACAACCATGACCATCAAGGTGGGGATAAGGCCCTCCCTGCCACAAAGCACTCCCCCATATTGAGGGCATGTGGCCTGATATGGTTTGGGGGGGCTGCCCGCTCATTCCCCCTTTCCTGACCTGCCAGGTTGCGTGCTCTGATAAAGGTCTGGTATGGATTTTGGGGGGACCCGCCTGCAGACCCCTTCAACCATCGGCTATAAACTTTTTTTGGGTTGGCAGTGGCCACAACCATCATTATTGACGTTAGATCTACTTTGAGGGACTTTTTTTTAATTTTTGTTTTTAATAAAGGACTTGTCTAAGACTGTCTTCTGACATTTTTTAAACTACCCCTTTTTTTTGTGAATGAGTAGCAGTACCATGTACCCCATACTCATTCACACGGAGAGGGGCAGGATACGGGGTCTCCCTTGTTGGCCATCAAGGTGTTGATAAGGTGCTTCGGGTGGGAGCCCTCCCTGCCCCAAAGCACCCCTCCATGTTGAGGGCATGTGGCCTGGTATGGTTTGGGGGGGACGCACTGGCTCATCCCCCCCCCTTCCTGACCTGCCAGGCTGCGTGCTCGGATAAGGATCTGGTATGGATTTTGGGGGGGCCCCCCGCAGACCACCACAACCACCAGCCATGGTTGTGAGGAAGAGGCCCTTGTCCCCATCAACATGGGGACAAGGTGCTTTGGGGGGGAGCCCTCCCTGCCTCAAAGCACCCCCCCTTATATTGAGGGCATGTGGCCTGATATGGTTCGGGGGGCGCCCGCTCGTCCCCCCTTTCCTGACCTGCCAGGTTGTATGCTCAGATAAGGGTTTGGTATGGATTTTGGGGGGACCCCCATGCCATTTTCTTGAAAAATTAAGCTATTTTTTTGAATTGCCAGACAAAGACAGCAATTCATTTTACATTTAGCTGTCAGTGGGGAATCCCGATGACAGCTGAAACATTAAAGAATGTTTTTTAGTAGCTGTGCCGTATCTTACCGCATACTCAGATGCGGTAATATGCTGCTGCTTAGTGAATTTTCCTCTCTGTTCGAAGTTTGCGGTCAAACTTTTGTTAGATTCAAATGTTCGACCGTGAACCGAACAGGAGGGTGTTTGACCCATCACTACTGATGGCCATAAAAACCTTTTAGTTTGACATCCCACAATGCCACTCACAAACTTTATTCAAGTTTCTCGGATATTCACGTTTCCTAAACTATTCAGTAAAATTATAGGAATATAGAAAGAAATTATCTTTGAGTATACACAAAGGCAGGAGGAACACAAAACCATAAAAATAAACTAGGATAGAAAAAAAAAAAAAACGAAATGATGCGTCACTGCATAAAATTCTGTCTACGTTATTAGACAGCAATTATATGACTTCCACTATAATTATTTCAGACTGTGTCTGCACTACATCACCGGAGGAGTGGGGAGAATATTAACACATCAGCTTAAAAGGAAATTTAAGGACAGAAATATCAAAGTCATTCCTCACTTGTTTCTAAAGGTGAAAACTCCCGGGCTGTCTTCTTTATTTTTGCTTCTACACTTGATGACTGACATGGAAATAAAGTAATTTAACACTTACTATATGAAATGTCTTATTGTCTGTTGGTTTAATGTTTCCTGACAGTTTAATGTAAGGCTGGTAGGTGAAAGTTGTCAGTTTTCTTCCATGGGAGTTTTGGACAGAAAATCCAGAACGTTATGTTGGAAAATATTACAGGCGTACCTCGGTTTATGAATTTAATACATTCTGCTGGACTTTTCGTTTTGCAAAAAATTTGTAAACTGAAATGCGATTTCCCACAGGAATGCATTGAAAACCAATTAATCCGTTCCGGAGGTCAGAATAAAGTAAAAAAGAAGTCCTTTATCTGTTCAAAACTCTTTATAAAGTGCACTTTAAAGGCACAAATACAGGGACATGATTAAAAATGAATTAGTACATGCATTGAAAGCCAGTTAATCCGTTCGAGGTCAGAAAAAAGTAAAAAAAAAATGTTATCTGTTCAAAACTCTTTATAAAGTGCACTTTAGAGGCATAAATACTGTACAGGGACATGATTAAAAAAATTGTAAATGCACTGAAAACCAATTAATCCGTTTTAATTGCAAAAAAAATTTGTAAACCGAGGCATTATTTTCAATGGATATTCATTCTTAAACCAAAAATTATGTTCGTAAGTCGAGGTATGCCTGCATTTCGTGTAAAGCTTCCGAAAGTGAATCTGTTATTTGCCAGCAAGGCAAAAACAAGAGGTTAACTTTAACCCCTCACTGCCCAGTAGTACATATTCAATGTTTTTTCACTCCCCCCGTTCTGTTCAGCTACTGGGAACAGAAGATACCGCCATGTAGAAGCTATGAGTTAGAGCCTACATAAGGCTATGAACTATACCCATGTGACAGTGGCGGTGTTTGGTGATTGGCCCAGGGCTGTCACATGGCGTAAGTCACATTTCTCCCTGGAAATACAAGGTTTTTTCTTCACTCTTGGTGGCTGAACAGAGCAGTGATGAAAAGTTGAGTATGTGCAGGTTTAGAGGTGGGATCTATTGCTTTGTCCAGCACGGGCTTTGCTTTAACCTCCCTGGCGGTATTCCCAAGTGTAGCTCGGGGTAAAGTTGCAGCAAAACAAGCAGTAACCACGAGCTACACTTGGGAATACACTGCAGCGTTGCTCCGGGATCCCTCGATCACTTACCTTGTCCTTTGCTCCCGTGATGTCCCCCCTGCAGCATCCCCGGCCATCTCCTCTGGCCGATGCTGGCATCCGTCTTCCGGGTTCCGTTCCCTGCGACGTCGGGAGGTACGGGGGGGGGACGGAACTGGCGGGAAATTTAAACATTTTAAAAAGTGACATTCACTAATACACTAAAATCACATAGTATAACATTCCTGTATCAAATCATTTCACATACATTTTGTCCCGAGTGCTTTGTCCTGCGCCCTGCCTGCATTTTTACTGTTCTTTCTGCCTGGAAACTGAGAAACGTCCATGGCATCCAAAAACTGTCCCTTTAGGTCAAAAGCAGTTTTAGTCCAGCTAGAGAACAGCGATAGTAAATTACTTGCAGAATTGAGTGATAATGATTTGTGGGGAAATTCGTCATCAGACACTGAAAACTATTTTGCGACTTTGCTCAGTGATGTGCGAACTTGGCGCTATGTTTCAATTTTCAGTATTTTTGGTTTGATTATGTTATTGAATTACATTTATTATTATATTATTATTTTTTTATGATTATTTATTAAATTATAATTTATGATTTCGTGTTTCAAGTTTTAACATACCCGGGGTGTTTACTAGACTCTTGTTCAGACAGATTTCAGTGAGTTATTCCTAAAAATTACAGGCCTACAATAAAAAAACGACATATTTCAATGCAAAAAAATTTACCGCTTTCAGCCCAGAAATACTGACATAATCAGACCGCTAGGGAGGTTAAGGTGACGCTAAAGGTAACCATGTGAATGCTCTATCTTCCAATATAACTTTTTTGTGTTGCCTAAGTACTTTCCAACTCCATGCACAATTATTTCTACTTTTTTAGCACAATTATTTCTACTTTTTAGCAGAATTGAATGTTGATATTCCCTCCTTTCCCATGCTATCCAAAACAAGTAAACACCAAAGAGCAAAAAAAAAAAAAAATTCACATGATACAGCAAAGAGCATATCTTTTTTACAAGTTTGCCTCTCGGGAATCAGGAAGGAATTTTTCCCCTGCAGGAGCATATTGGATCATGCTTTGCTGGGGTTTTTTTTCCTTCCTCTGGATCAACTGTGGGTATAGGATTAGAACTTTTTTTTTTTTTTTTATGGTTGAACTGTATGGACTTTTGTCTTTTTTCAGCCAGACTAACTATGTAACAAATACCCTGAAAGTGGCATTGTCTTGGAACTCAATGGAGTAATTACAATCCATGAATAAATCATAAGACAAAGATTTATATGTTTAAAGTTAGGTGCTAGCAGGAGCCATGGTTTCATCAGTAGTCATGAATCAATAGAGTAATATAATCTCCAGCCTGGACCTAAAAACCTTTATCCATCCTGACGTTTTCTTTGAATAAAATTCTTTTGCTATACTCTTACTATACTATGAGATGGCTTTTTCCTTTTAATTAATATATGCTGGAATTACTTCTGTCCATTTAACTGGAGACAATTTGCCCAATCAGAGTGGTGCCATTGAGAAAAATGTCTGGAGGTCCTTCTTACGCCGTTTATGGTGTTGTTACTACTGTGCTTTTTGACTGTTCCCCATTGGGCAGTCAAAAAACAGAGGAAAGAGGCAGTTTGTTTGGTTTGCAGGTGAAGGATCTTCCTTCGTGTGTTCTATCCCTCTGGGCACCATCAAATACGGCTTATTCAATAAGGATCTTTATGCACTGTCAGCTTTTCTTTTAGTTTTTTGCACCATCCCATTGGACTTTTATTTGTACCTTATGATGAGATGCAGGGGCGGACTGACAACTCATGGGGCCCCCGGGCAATAGGGGATCATGGGGCCCCTGTGTCCTTGCCCAAACTCAAAAAAGCCTATGAAAAAGGTACCAGGGGCATCTCATGGGGCCCCCTACTGACCCCGGGCCCTCGGGCAGTGCCCGAGTTTCCAAATGGTTAGTCCGCCCCTGATGAGATGTTTAGGGACTAATTTGTTTGCAACAATAAATTTGTATTGAATTTTGCAGTTTATTAATTACATCAAGGCATAAATGGCTTCATCTTGTTAATACAGAATATACAGCAATGTATTGATAATAATAAAGTCATCAAAAGTAAATATGAAAGCTGAAACTTGATAGTCTTCATGGGTTTTAAACCAAAGCAAGGGAAAACAAAGCAAGACAAAAAGTTATGTAAAATTAAATTACATTTGGCAACGCTTACTAATAATAAACATCAATTAGTGTAGTGGAGATAACCATTGGATCCATGGATTTCAATGTCTTTGGAACTTTTATAAGAACCAGTTCTAATAGCAATAGCTTTTTCATTATAATATGTGAAATTTAAAAAGGCAGTAATTTCAGAGATATTAGGTGCCAAGTCTCTCCTCCACAGTCTGGTGATGATTGGTTTGGCAGCTAATAATATAAGTATTACCATGGTGCAATGATCTTGTGGACTAATTTTATGTCTATATTTTCTAGTTAGCGCTGCACCACCACTTTGTATACACTAAAAAAAATACAGAATAATCATTGTATTTATGAATTAAACCTGGAAAAACTGCAAGCTTCAATTACACAGCAGCTGCTGCTACCACCTCTGAAACATGGAGCATGACTGGCTCGTCAACCTGACAGCTTGCCACCCAATTACAGCGGGCAGAGCAAAGGCAACAGTTGGGTAAGGCAGTCTGATTTGCTATGCTAACTGAACACCCCGCATCTCAATTATGGAACTGAACACATTTATAATATCCGTACTGTGATGGCAACCCTATCTCTTCCACCTATAGTCACAGGCCTGCTGTGTCCTTTGTAAACACGGACCCCATATCAATCTAACCAAAAGGAAAGCATATGATGTATGGGGGCTGAACTGGAAAATCGCTGTTTTTGTATTGCACTGTGCTTCTTGGGACTTTTTTGCACTTTTTTGCACTAAAAGGAAATGGTCAGACAATGTGTGTGCATCTATCTATCTATCTATCTATCTATCTATCTATCTATCTATCTATCTATCTATCCATCTTTCTACACTATATTGCCAAAAGCATTGGCTCGCCTGCCTTCACACACACATGAACTTTATTGGCATCCCAGTCTTAGTCCGTAGGGTTCAATATTGAGTTGGCCCCGCCCTTTGCAGCTATAACAGCTTCAATTCTTCTGGGAAGGCCGTCCACAAGGTTTAGGAGGGTGTCTATGGGAAGGTTTGACCATTCTTCTTCATTTGTGAGGTCAGGCACTGATGTCAGACAAGAAGGCCTGGCTCGCAGTCTCTGCTCTAATTCATCCCAAAGGTGTTCTATGGGATTGAGGTCAGGACTCTGTGCAGGCCAGTCAAGTTCCTCCACCCCGAACTCGCTCATCCATGTCTTTATGGACCTTGCTTTGTGCACTGGTGCGCAGTCATGTTGGAACAGGAAGGGGCCATTTCCAAACTGTTCCCACAAAGTTGGGAGCATGAAATTGTCCAAAATGTCTTGGTATGCTGGCGCCTTAAGAGTTCCCTTCACTGGAACTAAGGGGCCAAGCCCAACCCCTGAAAAACAACCCCATACCATAATCCCCCCTCCACCAAACTTTACACTTGGCACAATGCAGTCAGACAAGTACCATTCTAATGGCAACCAGCAAACCCAGACATGTCCATCAGATTGCCAGACAGAGAAGCGTGATTTTTTAATCCAGAGAACACGTCTCCGCTGCTCTAGAGTCCAGTGGCGGCATGCTTTACACCATTGCATCCGACACTTTGCATTGCACTTGGCGATGTAAGGCTTGGATGCAGCTCCTCGGCCATGGAAACCCATTCCATGAAGCTCTCTACACACTATTGTTGTGCTAATCTGAAGGACACAAGAAGTTTGGAGGTCTTTGGCTATTGACTCTGCAGACAGTTGGCAACTTCTGCGCACTGTGCGCTTCAGCATGCGCTGAAACCGTTCTGTCATTTTACGTGGCCTACCACTTGGTGGCTGAGTTGCTGTTGTTCCCAGTTGCTTCCACTTTGTTATAGTCCCACTAACAGATGACCGTGGAATATTTGGTAGCCAGGAAATGTCACGGATGGACTTATTGCACAGGAGGCAACCTATCACGGGACCACGCTTGGAGTCACTGAGCTTCTGAGAGCGACCCATTCTTTCACAAATGTTTGTAGAAGCAGTCTGCATGCCTAGGTGATGATTTTATACACTTGTGGCCATGGAGGGGATTGGAACACCTGAATCACATGATTTGGAGGGCTGGCCCAATACTTTTGGCAATATAGTGTATCTATCTATCTATCTATCTATCTATCTATCCACAATATATGTAGAATTCTTGGGGGAAATACATGCAAAAAGCACATATTAAAAGCGTTCCCAGAGATGGAGATGGCTGATAAGCTACAAACAACAATCCTTGGCCCTCTTAATTGGAATAATATATTAATCCTACAGACCACTGATAAACAAGCAGCCATTTACCTTCTATTTATCAGACAAAATATATAGTCTATAAATAGAACTTCCACTCAACAGCAGCAGTGAGGAATCATTTACAATGGTTGCTAAGAGACAGTATTCACAAATATGTTCCTGACAACACGATCAGAAGCGGAACTCAGTACGGCATGTAAACTGGGCCGCGCCAAACCTACCCACTTGGTTTCAATGCTTTGGAAACCGATTTGGGTCATATCAGGAAAAGTGCTTAAAGCGGTATTAAACCCAAATGCATATTTATTATATTGCAGCTTACCAGTCATCAGATGTGGTGGCTGCATTCGTTTTCTTTTTTTAGGCTTTCTTTCTTTTATATTCACTTGGTCATCTGACCAGTAAATCTGTTGTTTTTGACAGAACAGACTGTCCTGTAGATGTAGCAGTTAGAAGGTTGAGACGAACCATTTACAACTGACAGGGGTGCTTACTGCGGTCAGCTTTTAGTTATTTATGTAAAACCTTTATCCCAAAAAGGAAAAAAAAAACTGTTGCTAAAAAAACTGGCCATCCACACATTTGAAGTGGATGAAGGAAATCTCCCCGCTGTGCAATTTTATTCTAAAACTGGGGATTTCTTCACTGTTAGAATAAACTGATTAACGCTGCAGCCAGTTGGCTGCAGGAGCTGATCGTACAAAACAGTCTGATGCACACTGATTGTTTTTACAGCGACTGTTTTTGTATTTTGGCATTTTTTTTTCTACAAACAGTAAACTCCCCAGCATGATATCCTATGTGTCCATGCACACATAGACTGTAAGCAGCGTTTTTTGGCAAGGGCGCTTTTTGGCTGGAAAAAAACTCAGAAATAGTGGGTTTCTAGAGGAGTTTTTTTTAGTTGTAAAAACGCTCTAATGCTGAAAAATTTGGTAAAATGTGGCAAAATGCAGTAAAACACAGCAAACCAGTGTTTTTGGATTTTTTCAGCAAAGAAAAAAAATGTTTTTTTCATTAAAAAACACAAATGCGAAAAAACATGGCAAAATGTGGCTAAACTCGGCTAAATGCTAATGCAAAAATGCTGAAAAACTCACATTTTTAACGTGACTTTACACAACTAACGTTACCAGCGTTGAATGGAGCCTAATAGTCCTGTTCAAGAGGAGTCTCTCATTAGATCAACTTCTCATGAATGGGATTGGCCATAGAAATTTGGTTGGTCCCTGCTAAACCAGGTGCTCAACCTGTGCCACTCCAGCTGTTGAGGAACTATAAGTCCCATCATGCCTCTGCCTTTGGGAGTCATCCTTGTAATTGCCAGCGACTTGCAATGCATCATGGGACTTGTAGGGCAACAGGCTGAGCATCCAGCTTTACTGCCTAAAAAAGTGTTAGCTGGAGTTTTGCAACATCTTTTCGCAGGTCACTAAGAAAGAAAACCTCAATTTCCATGGTTAAACCCATGCTGGGGTTCACCTGAATGTCTGATATTGTATATGCATGTTTATACTGGGAATTATTTTTCTTTTCCATGTTAGTGTATCTAAATCTTCTAGTCCATCTGTCTAGTCTGTCTGCTGTCGAAAGGTGTCCCTGTGCTCCTTCATCCAGAGTGGAGTCACTCTCTACTTGCCAGATTGCCAGGTGAAAACACAGAGGAAAAATACTATAAAAGAAAACAAATGCAGCTACATCTAATGATTGGTAAGCTGCATTCAACATTCTTGGTTTTGGACGGCTCTAATATTGTAGTTCAAGGGCATTTTTTAACGCGCCCCAACCTTAAATCTATATGATCCCTTGCCAGGGGCGGACTGACAACTCATGGGGCCTCCGGGCAATAGGGGATCATGGGGCCCCTGTGTCCTTGCCCAAACTCGAAAAAACCTATGAAAAAGGTACCAGGGGCATCTCATGGGGCCCCCTATTGACCCCGGGCCCTCGGGCAGTGCCCGAGTTTCCAAACGGTCAGTCCGTCCCTGTCCCTTACTACTGAAGGCAACCCCCCCCCCATTTCTTTTGTAAGCATCAGGCAGCATCTCCCCAGGGGGATTGCAGAAAAAAAAATCTGGCAGGAATTTTAATTTATCCCCACTCTATGCAAAACTTTAAAATTTGCTGCAGTAAGGCTGTGAAGGCCAGTGGTCAGTCTGACCCGAACAAGGACAGAGAAGATAAAACCTCTCAGTGCGGTTCTTTTTGTTACGAATCGAAATTCAGATAAAATTTTTGTTATTTGGCGATACGGTTGTATCCGAATTTCCAAATTACAATAATAACAAATTTAAATGAATTCGGAAATAATGAAACAAAATGTCATCCGAAATAACGAATTATCTGAATTCCCCCATTACCCTATTCCAGTTCCAAATCCCCTCAATAAACAACAAAACAAACACTCAAGGACTGATTTCTGACTCTGAACTTGTGTGGAGAATGCAGATTGCCTGGCTGTGCAATACTATTTGAGGACCCAAAATTATCAGCAAGGGGGTGGTAGTGGTACACTTGTATGAAACAATATCCTGTTCTCT